ATACCATGTTATTATAATAGATCCATGGGACATGCCTAGAACACCAACCCAGGGAGGTGTCCGGGAGCATCCCAAACAGACGCCCGAGCCACCTCAACTGGCTCCTCTCGACGTGGAGAAACAGGGCTCTACTTCGAGCTCCTCCTGTGTAACTGAGCTCCTCACTATTTTAGGGAAATGCAATGCCTTGGAGGAAATCATACAGTTATATGATTTCCTGCAAGGAAACTTGTCCCAACAAACAACAACAAAAACAAATTGTCCCAACCAAATAAACAATAAATAAATAAATACAGTAGCTTTACATTAATTTTGAGTATTTGATTTAAATATCTTTCCAGTTTGTCACTACAAAGGAAAGCTCAGGTTGTAGTAGATGGTCCCTCATATTGCATCAAGCTGCCACTGGTTATTAAGGCTATATACTTTCCTTAGCATCACCTCAACCACTTAAATCATAACGCCTACTGTAGATACTACAATTTGATTTTTTTTTTATTTGATTTGATTTATTTCAAGCTTATAAACAGGAATCAATTTATAGATTTAAAAGCAATTACATACAATACATGATATAAATTTACATACATACATACATACATACATTAATGTATATATACATTTTTATTTTTATTATTTTTATTTATTTTCACTTTTAATTTATTTTCACTCCTGTTAACAATTAATATACGAATATTGGGTAGTTTCTTCACCAGAGACCGCGATTATGCCTTCATAAAACAGTTTGTTTAAGAAATGTATTTTAAAATCAAAAACACTTGACCTTCTTAAGACAGCGAAAAAACCATGGGTACTGCTGTCCCTCTCAGCGACATTGTACAAAGAGTCCACGAGGAGTGCAGGAGTATCCTCTGACCTTCCACATATACCACATCCGAAACTCTAAATATAAACTCCTCAGCTCAGGGACGAGGAACAGACACAAGCAAGACTTTACACATTCACATTAATTTCAAGGGTTAATTTATTTCACCTTGTTAAAGTTTTACTTTATTTTTTATGTAAGTGATTCTCAAAACAAGGATAAAGACCAGACAGATGGAGAACCCTTGATGGACTGTGGAAATAATTGACAATCATCATAATTTCACTGAAATGCACAGCCCTGTAGACAATCACAACGTAACCCGCTTTACAATCATCTTCATCATTACAATCTGTTTTCTCTAGTGTCCTTATGTGTGTACAATTACTTTATATTTAATTTACTAATACTGAAATGGTCTTACCGGATCCCATCATTTGCCCACACATTCATGAATTGGTCTCTCATGGAATATAAGACTCTTATTTATGCAGAGTGAGAAGGCTATTCATGCCTTTCCATAATTAATTACTTGTATAAAAATACCACTACAGGTCACGATGTTGCTATGTATTTACGCTGTGCTGCTGATCATACTTAAAGTAAAATATCAGTAGTATGAATCTGAAATGCTGTCTCCCCATGTATAGTTCTGACTCTGGGCACTAACAGAAGTTCAGTCCCGGTGCTCCTCGAAGTCCGGGCCAGTTCATATGGGACTAACATGTCACTCATGTACCTTGGTGCAAGGCCATGACTTGCACACAAGCAGAGCAGCTTTGAAGTCGATTCTCTGAGCCAAAAGAAGCCTGTGCAGAGACCTGAGAAATCCAATACTTGTTTGGTTCAATGATGATGATTCCTGAAAGGCACACCGTGTAACTCTTGGCCACTAGGGGCGCTAGACCTGCAACTTTCACGTTTAGCGCCCCTAGTGGCCACAAGCAACTCAGCACTGTCGCAAAAGTCAACAAACAGTCAGCCGGTGTCTTTTGAGTGTGTATTCAGACAGCATGCACTGGTGTGTGTGTTCAAACTGTAGAGACATGCCTACAGATATTGAGAGACTCTGCTGTGGTCAGCCTCCAGACCGCTGCATTAGTAATCTACCACACATGGACTTCTATATCCTGGATGAGGGAGTTCTGCGTCTAGCTCGTGCTGCGTGGAATGACATCTTTGCAGTCGATGACATCCAGGAACCAGGTGAACAGCAGCGCTCATACAGACATGCAGCTTACAGCACGATCCCTTTCGCGTTTCCTCTTTTTAGCCTCCTCCGAAGGTTTAAAATTTTTCCTTGCCTCAGCCATGACCAGGAGTCGAGCAGGTGAAAAATGAGTAGCAAAAGCCTTAGCTCCATGAGTATATCAGCGCCTGTAGCCGTAAAGCAAGTGTTTCTTCCAAGTCACGTGACCTGGTGGCAGACGGTCCGTCTGCTCGAAACTTACATGGGCGGTATTTCAAGAGGGCAGCCCCGCTCGGAGCATTGCAAGTGTCAAGCGCTGTATATTGGCCCAAGTATTCATATAAAATAACTCATATGTGTCAACTCTTTAGGTCACAAAGTCCGCGGTGTGCCTTGAACATGAATTACAGTTTATTAGAACCAGGAAGCATGACAACATTAGTCCAGTTTTCAGGTCTCTGCACTGGCTTTCTGTGGCTCAGAGAGACTTAAAATCTGCTCTGCTTGTGTACGTCTCTCCATGGCCTCGCACCAAAGTGTGACCAACCCAAACCAACTCGTCTTCTGAGGAGCACAGGGACTAGTCTCCTGATCTAAACATGGGGAGGCAGCATTTCAGATGCAGATAAAATCTGGAACAGTCTTCCTGAAAATCTGAAACAGGCTTCTGCTCTGACAATGTTCAAACTATTTTGTTCAGCTGTTCATGCAATGAGGGATTTTATCTTCACTCTAATGTACTGTGATCATTTATGATTTTAGTGCCTTGTATTGTGTCTATCTTGCTTTGTTTAGCACTTTGAGTTGCCTTGTGTATGAAGTGTGCTATACAAATTAACTTGCCTTGCCTATTAAACTTGTATTGTTTTTGTCTTATATTTTAAACGTTTGAACACAGAGAACTTAAGCTATAGCTTGGTAAGTTAATAATTAACTCTAATAACATAGACGACCCTGCTGGGAAATTTGACTGACACTGAATGTTTATTGACTGTTGCCAATGTAATTATGACTTAGCTGCTTTTAATTCAATGACACGTCCATATCTCCTGGGAGAAGGGACACGCCATCATTGCTTGGCAAAAGAATGTAATGATTTGTGGAAAATGCAATGTGCAATTTTGACGAAAGTAACATAATTAAGTTATGTTGCCTTTTAACATGTGGTAGGTGCATTTAAATAAGAGGATTAGAACTGGTGGCATTTCTGCTGGCCCAGGGCAGAAAGGCTTTGCATTAATATCAACCTTTTCCAGTTGTGATTTGTTCATTTGTTTCTGTGTCTGTGCTTCAACATGGGGCTCGAGGTATTGATGCCTATCCCTGTGATGACGCTGGCCTTTAGATGAAGGTCTTACCTGTACACTCAAGACTTGTTGTAATCATAAACTCTTCCTGACAACCCAACTCATTTACCCAATCATACTGTATGCTTACACAATGCATACTAAAACGTCATTTCACCATGCTCATTTAAAGAAGTGTTGTGGGGCACACGCCATAGGGCGTTCAGGGGCCTGTTGTGGCCCCTTGTGCTTGTTATACTTTTGGTTCTTAATCTTAAATCTTTGGCTCAAAGAAATGAGAGTCGACCTATTTACAAGTTCCAACTGGAGTGTGTCTCCTTCTCTCCACAGAATTGGTATGACAATGATTCAATATACACAATATTGAAGGATGACCTCCACCAATATTGTAGCATTGAGAAGATAGATATATTTTTGTCAAAATAACTGACCTAAAACACGGATAAAAGAACATGTTCTCATTCAGACTCCTGGGATCAGAGTTGTGAAATAATCAGACTACAGAGTCTTGATTGGCAGTTCTGCCATATGCTTTTCTTTCCCAGATAATGAATTGAACTTTGGAAATGTTTGAATGAACAATAACAATACTTTACTCCACAACTTCATACTTGACCTTCTGAAGAGTTCCTTTGACTTCGTGATGCGGTTTAGGGACCAATAAACACAGTAAGTAATGTTTATTTATTTAGCACATTTCATAGAGCAGCTGTAGTCATAGTGAGAGTACAGACAGATCTATTTAATTTCTAAGGAACAGGTGCAGATTCAGCATCAGGGAGTTTTCAATGTTTTAAAAAAAATGCAATTTCCATTATACCGTGTTTTAAATACCAAAATCTTAAATATTTTTTTCACTTCACAGCTGTCTGAAAATAAAATGTGCAAAGTTTCAGCTGTTTTGCAACAAATGTAATCTTTTAGTTAGTAATATAATATCACAGTTTTAATTTTAGGGCTGTTTGGCACTAGATTGATAAAAATTAATCTTTACCCCTTTTGATGCAACAAACGTGAAGGTTCTGTATTATTGTTGCAGTTTACTCTCTAGAAATCACAGCCCTTTGGATGATTAGCATAATGAAGAAAGCAAATATTCAATATTTACCTTTCTTCAGTTGACTCATAATAAGAACAGAGCCTTCAGCTTCCACTGAGGGGACGCATCCTGAGTCAGTTGGAGAAAATTGGTGTAATATCAATATATGTATAAACCAGAAGACGCAAATCTGAAGGACACACAAACACATGTGCGCACCCTCTTGTGACGTCAGCAGTCGCCTTTAAAAGCCTTGTTCAAACTGCCGCGTATCCGACTCCGTGACCGTGACCAGAGCGCACGGGCTGTGGCTTTGTGGAGAGGACTACAGCTTTGGATACGCGAGAGAAACGGGGTTTTCTTTATTTTTTGTTTTTTAAGGGCTTATTTACGCTTGAATACGGATAAAAGGACGCAAGATGAGTCTCGGTAACAGGTGCTATTTTAGGAGGACAAAGTGAGTTGGAGAGGGATGAGTGAGCGGCCACAACTGAATACAAGTGATTAAGAGCAATATGCTCCAGAGTCAGATTACGCACTGGAGACGCGCGCCAGCCACGATCCACATGTACTCCAGTGAGGACCCGGATCCAGTGAACTTTGTCAGGCTGTGATCGCCGCGACACGACGGTCCGATGAATGGCTCACAGGATGTTCTCTGGTCACACTTTGCTGAACTACAGCCTAAACCAGAGCGATGAGCAGGTGCGCACGGGCGCAGAGAGGCTCTCTCCCACCGGCTTCATTGTGCTGTCCGTGGCCCTGGGCTTCATCATGACTTTCGGATTCCTCAACAACTTCATAGTCCTCGTTTTGTTCTGTAAATTCAAAAAGCTGCGGACTCCCGTGAACATGCTCTTGCTCAACATCAGCGTGAGTGACATGATGGTGTGTCTGTTTGGCACCACGCTCAGCTTCGCCTCCAGCATCAGAGGGCACTGGCTCCTGGGGGCCAGCGGATGCAGCTGGTATGGCTTTATCAACTCCTGCTTCGGTAAGTTTAGGGAACACCGCAAACTGCAGAGACCGACACACAGAGGGATTCTCCCCGGATTGAGTTTGAGCCGCCGGTATTTATTCCGTACGTGAATTTAGCTCAGACAAGACTAGGGAATTAGGGAAAAACATTGTCTGATTCTTAAATCTGTTTTAATATGAACATGAAGCCCATATGTGCATGTTTACCAACTCTCGTCAACAAAGCTTTATAGACTACGACCTTTAGAGTCTGTTTTCAATATGCACTTTCATATTCTTTAAATTTAAGGACCAGGTAACCAAAATAAACATTTTAAGGACTTTGAAATAGAACCGCTCGTTGTAGGCACTTTCCTTAGTAAAGGGTTGCACTATTTTACAACATTGAGGTCTGACACCTAAAGCGATTGCTCATAATTGAAATACTTTGATTTAACTAAACTAAGGCAACAACGCCCCTATATAATTGTTACATTGTGTTAAATTAAAAAGAGGTCCCAGTGCTAGTTTCTATCATAAGGTTCAGATTGATGTTTGTTTATGGGGCTGTCATGTACAAACAGCTAGTCCCTATTTACATCGGTTTTATTTTCTCCCTTAATCTCATGCTGTCACTTTAATGCTGTGCTATGACTCTGATGGGAACGCAAACAGCACATTTCTCAAGCCCTGACTCTCTTTTACAGTCAGCATACCAAGATGGGACTGTTTGAGAAGTTGGTGATTTGTTTGTACAGTATATCTTTGCAGTGGTCCTCACTTTGATGAATGCATGATGTGTGATGCCTCCGCCAGTTGCTCTCTCTCCTCAGAAACTGTAGGATTTGTCAGTCTTTTAAATATGTCTGTATCTAGTCATTTAAGATCATTTCTACCCTGATTCACACAGCTAATACTGTAAATTGTTTAAACTGGGGGAACATACAAACAACTCACAGTACCCACACTTATCACAGCAGGTGGGACCAAACATGGCTTTGACCACGTTTAACGTCATTTAGATGGGAAATAAAAGCAAAGTGATGTACCTATAAGAGCAGGCAGAACATGTATTGTCTTTTACACCATTGTGAAGGAGGGCTGGGCGATCTGTTTTCTCCCCTCATATTGATTCATCTTAATTTTTGATATAATCGTTTTATATTTAATTAAATTATATGTACTTGCAGGCAGGGGGCAGAAAAGTAATATATTACATTAAATCATGCAGTTTCATGTGAGTCACTCTCCATGTGGGTGGAGAAGTCCTTTCTCAAGTGGAGGAGTTCAAGTTTCTCAGGGTTTTGTTCATGAGTGAGGGAAGGATGGAGCAAGAGATTGACAGGCGGATTGGTGCAGCGTGCGCAGTGATGCAGTCGTGGACCGTTAGGGTAAAGAGGGAGTTGAGTCGAAAGGCAAAATAATAATGAATAATAATGCATCCGTTTTATATGGCGCTTCTTTGGACACTCAAAGACGCTTCACATTTCATTATTCAATCATTCCATACACAGTGGTGATAAACTACTACTGTAGCCACAGCTGCCCTGGGGCACACTGTGAGAAGCAAGGCAACCAGTATGTGCCATCTGCCCCGCCGACCACCACCAACCATTCACTTACACCAGACTCATTCTAAAGCTGCAAAACTCTCGATTTACCGGTCGATCTATGTTCCCTCCCTCACTGATAGTCATGAGCTTTGGGTAATGACTGAAACAACCCGATCGCGGATAGTGGTCAAAATGAGCTTTCTCCACAGAGTGGCTGGGCGCTGCCTCAGAGATAGGGTTAGGAGCTCAGTGGCACGGGAGGAGTTCGGAGTAGAGTCACTGCTTCTCCATGTTGAGAGGAACCAGTTGAGGTGGCTCGGGCATCTATTCTCTGGGCGTCCCACCGGGAGGAGACCTCAGGGACGACCTAGGAAACGCTGGCCTGGCCTTAGCCATCTGTAAACTTCTGTCAATTATTATTTATGAAATTAGTACGATGGTATGCTAAGAACACGCTGGAGGAACTAAAGTTTCTCAGCTGGCCTGGGAACGCCTTGGGATTCGTTTGGATGAGCAGGAGGAAGTGTGTGTGGAAAGGGAAGACTGGCAACCGATGAAGCGGAAGAAAATGGATGGATAGAAATTGTGCAGTTAAACCAAACAGTATCAGAGGGCAAATAAAGAGCTGATGTGATACATGCCATTTCTGGCTATTAAACAAACCAAAACAGAAGGATTGAAAACTTGTGATGAAGACCTTTGGGCTCAGAGCAGGCTGTTCTAACACTGTGTGAATGCTAACGTGCAATATTTGAAACATTGTTATCTTTTACATACCTAGAGTTGTGTGGCCGAGTGAGGACTGAAAGCTGATCTACACGTGTGACAGACGGCTAAATACTGTACATTCAGGTGAAAACTAGTGCGAGAACAAAATGGTTTTGAGAACTTTTTGGATTTTTTTTTCATAGATTTTGGTTTCAAAGTTAGGTCCCTCAATTTAAGTGTCCCCGTGCTTCAAATGGGACCATGGTTTGGCTACAGGGGTACCTGATAATGGACTAATGTGTGTTTGGCTAGATCGCACTGATAGTGCTTCTTCTCTTCTTTTCCAGGCATAGTGTCTCTGATCTCGCTCGTCATCCTGTCCTATGACCGCTACAGTACCCTCACAGTGTACAACAAACAGGGCCCCAGTTACAGGAGGCCCCTGATGGCTGTGGGGGGCTCCTGGCTCTACTCATTGTTTTGGACAGTGCCTCCTCTGCTGGGCTGGAGCAGCTATGACATTGAGGGAGCAGGCACCAGCTGTTCTGTGTCCTGGACCATGAACTCCAGCCAATCTCACGCATACATCATCTGCCTGTTCATTTTCTGTCTGGGGCTGCCCATCCTGGTCATGGTTTACTGCTACGGCCGCCTGCTGTGCGCTGTCAAACAGGTACTCTCAAATATTCTATATTTAATGTGATCTAATAATGAACTATGATGCACTGAAGCCTCGTTCACCCTAACCCATTTATTTGAATGAAAAGAGGAAACTATTATTTAATATACAGTATACAACGTAGATGATGCTCTTACGTCATAAGGCTTCATGATGGTCTAAGAAAGCGGACCAGAGCACAGCTGTTTGTTGCTTTCACATCTTCACCAATTAAGCTTCATTTGCCTGAAGTGATCCTATAAAGGTTTTATAAATCCGAATATTTTAACTGTTAGTATTGCTGAAGAAGAGATAGCTCATGGAGTAAGATAAGGCCTTGCTTCTCATTTCTCATGTTTCATACCGACACACAGGAAAAGCAGATACCATTGTAAACAAGTGTAATCACACATATGTATGAATACGAGCAGAATTAGTGCTCCATTTGTGAGGAGCGCAATGAGCCACAAGCTCAGGCTGGCTCAGGATTACAGAGGCCTTAGATTCACATCAGATTCATTTATTTTCCTTTTTCAGTCAAACCACATTGGAATGCAGCCCCCAGTCCCAGTGTAAACCAGACAAGAACATCAATGAAACGAGGTTAAAAGTACAGAGCTAAAACAAACAAACAGGACACAATTGACACTGTAAAGTTGATCAATAAAAAAAGTTTCAATACATGTGCAAAATCATTGAAGTGTGTTTTTTAAAGTGATAATAGTCTGTGGAAAGAAGTTGTTAGCAAGACAAGACGTACTGCATCTCAGCGAATGATATCTTCTGCCAGAGGGAAGAAGCTGGAACATGGCTTTTCCAAGGGCCAGAAGAGTCAATGATTATTTAAAGAGCTTGGTTTAACCTCCAGAAAAGGCCGCTCACAGCTCACAGAGCGGAGCACCTTGTTCAGAGCAGATAGTGCAGTGATAAAAGTGAAGCAGAATCTTAGAGAATTCACAGAACGAGCTTTCTTAACAACCGGATTAGTGTTTTTGCACACCAGAGCTCTTACTGAGCTCTTATGTTTGCTCAGATTATGTTACATGATTTGGACCAAGGCCATTACAGCGACTGTTGTCACTTACACTATCTGCATTAATGCATCACTATAAACTAACAGCATCAAGAGACATTACTCTTCATATCAAACACACATTCAATTTATCTGATAGCCCCAACCACGTCACTACCACGTCACTACCACGTCACTACCACGTCACTACCACGTCACTACCACATCACTACCACAGTCACTACACATCACTACCACGTCACTACGTCACTACACGTCACTACCACATCACTACCATGTCACTACCACGTCACTACCACTCACTACCAGTCACTACCACGTCACTACCATCACATCATCACTACCACGTCACTACCACGTCACTACCACCATCACTCACTACCACGTCACTACCACATCACTACCACGTCACTACCACGTCACTACCCATCGTCACTACCACGTCACTACCACGTCACTACCCACGTCACTACCGCGTCACTACCGCGTCACTACCACGTCACTACCACGTCACTACCACGTCACTACCACGTCACTACCACGTCACTACCACATCACTACCACGTCACTACCACTCACTACCCACGTCACTACCACATGTCACTACCACGTCACTACCACGTCACTACCACATCACTACCACATCATCACTACCACGTCACTACCACATCACTACCACGTCACTACCACATCACTACCACACACTACCACGTCACTACCACATCACTACCATGTCACTACCACTCACTACCACATCATCACTACCACGTCACTACCACATCATCACTACCATGTCACTACCACGTCACTACCACATCACTACCACATCATCACTACCACGTCACTACCACATCACTACCATGTGTCACTACCACGTCACTACCACGTCACTACCACATCACTACCATGTCACTACCACGTCACTACACATCATCATCACTACCACGTCACTACCACATCATCACTACCACGCCACTACCACGTCACATACCACATCATCACTACCACGTCACTACCACATCACTACCACGTCACTACCACGTCACTACCACGTCACTACCGCGTCACTACCGCGTCACTACCGCGTCACTACCGCATCACTACCACGTCACTACCACGTCACTACCACGTCACTACCACGTCACTACCACGTCACTACCACGTCACTACCACATCACTACCACATCACTACCACGTCACTACCACATCATCACTACCACGTCACTACCACGTCACTACCACATCACTACCACATCATCACTACCACGTCACTACCACGTCACTACCGCGTCACTACCGCGTCACTACGCGTCACTACCGCGTCACTACCGCGTCACTACCACGTCACTACCACGTCACTACCACGTCACTACCACGTCACTACCGCGTCACTACCCGTCACTACCGCGTCACTACCGCGTCACTACCACGTCACTACCACGTCACTACCACGTCACTACCACGTCACTACCACGTCACTACCACGTCACTACCACATCACTACCACGTCACTACCACGTCACTACCACGTCACTACCACATCACTACCACATCACTACCACATCACTACCACGTCACTACCACGTCACTACCACATCACTACCATGTCACTACCACGTCACTACCACATCATAACTACCACGTCACTACCACATCATCACTACCACGTCACTACCACATCACTACCACATCACTACCACATCACTACCACGTCACTACCACGTCACTACCACATCACTACCACATCACTACCACGTCACTACCATGTCACTACCACGTCACTACCACATCATCACTACCACGTCACTACCACATCATCACTACCACGTCACTACCACGTCACTACCACATCACTACCACATCATCACTACCACGTCACTACCACATCACTACCACGTCACTACCACGTCACTACCACGTCACTACCACGTCACTACCGCGTCACTACCGCATCACTACCACGTCACTACCACGTCACTACCACATCACTACCACGTCACTACCACGTCACTACCACGTCACTACCACGTCACTACCACATCACTACCACGTCACTACCGCGTCACTACCACATCATCACTACCATGTCACTACCACGTCACTACCACATCACTACCACATCATCACTACCACGTCACTACCACGTCACTACCGCGTCACTACCGCGTCACTACCACGTCACTACCACGTCACTACCGCGTCACTACCGCGTCACTACCGCGTCACTACCGCGTCACTACCGCGTCACTACCGCGTCACTACCACGTCACTACCACGTCACTACCACGTCACTACCACGTCAATACCACGTCACTACCACATCACTACCACGTCACTACCACGTCACTACCACGTCACTACCACGTCACTACCACGTCACTACCACGTCACTACCACATCACTACCACGTCACTACCACGTCACTACCACATCACTACCACGTCACTACCACGTCACTACCACATCACTACCATGTCACTACCACGTCACTACCACATCATAACTACCACGTCACTACCACATCATCACTACCACGTCACTACCACATCACTACCACATCACTACCACATCACTACCACGTCACTACCACGTCACTACCACATCACTACCACATCACTACCACGTCACTACCATGTCACTACCACGTCACTACCACATCATCACTACCACGTCACTACCACATCATCACTACCACGTCACTACCACGTCACTACCACATCACTACCACATCATCACTACCACGTCACTACCACATCACTACCACGTCACTACCACATCACTACCACATCACTACCACGTCACTACCACATCACTACCATGTCACTACCACGTCACTACCACATCATCACTACCACGTCACTACCACATCATCACTACCATGTCACTACCACGTCACTACCACATCACTACCACATCATCACTACCACGTCACTACCACATCACTACCATGTCACTACCACGTCACTACCACGTCACTACCACATCACTACCATGTCACTACCACATCATCACTACCACGTCACTACCACATCATCACTACCACGCCACTACCACGTCAATACCACATCATCACTACCACGTCACTACCACATCACTACCACGTCACTACCACGTCACTACCACGTCACTACCGCGTCACTACCGCGTCACTACCGCGTCACTACCGCATCACTACCGCGTCACTACCACGTCACTACCACGTCACTACCACGTCACTACCACGTCACTACCACGTCACTACCACATCACTACCACATCACTACCACGTCACTACCACATCATCACTACCACGTCACTACCACGTCACTACCACATCACTACCACATCATCACTACCACGTCACTACCACGTCACTACCGCGTCACTACCGCGTCACTACCGCGTCACTACCGCGTCACTACCACGTCACTACCACGTCACTACCACGTCACTACCACGTCACTACCACGTCACTACCACGTCACTACCGCGTCACTACCGCGTCACTACCGCGTCAATACCACGTCACTACCACGTCACTACCACGTCACTACCACGTCACTACCACGTCACTACCACGTCACTACCACATCACTACCACGTCACTACCACATCACTACCACGTCACTACCACATCATCACTACCACATCACTACCACGTCACTACCACGTCACTACCACGTCACTACCACATCATCACTACCACATCACTACCACGTCACTACCACATCACTACCACATCACTACCACGTCACTACCACATCACTACCATGTCACTACCACGTCACTACCACGTCACTACCACATCATCACCACCACGTCACTACCACGTCACTACCACATCACTACCACATCATCACTACCACGTCACTACCACGTCACTACCACATCACTACCGCGTCACTACCGCATCACTACCGCATCACTACCACGTCACTACCACGTCACTACCACATCACTACCACATCATCACTACCACGTCACTACCACATCACTACCACATCACTACCACATCATCACTACCACGTCACTACCACATCACTACCACATCACTACCACATCATCACTACGACGTCACTACCACATCATCACCACCACGTCACTACCACGTCACTACCACATCACTACCACATCATCACTACCACGTCACTACCACGTCACTACCGCGTCACTACCACGTCACTACCACGTCACTACCACGTCACTACCACATCATCACTACCACGTCACTACCACGTCACTACCACATCACTACCACATCATCACTACCACGTCACTACCACGTCACTACCACGTCACTACCACGTCACTACCACGTCACTACCACGTCACTACCGTGTCACTACCGCGTCACTACCGCATCACTACCACGTCACTACCACGTCACTACCACGTCACTACCACGTCACTACCACGTCACTACCGCGTCACTACCGCGTCACTACCGCATCACTACCGCATCACTACCACGTCACTACCACGTCACTACCACATCACTACCACATCATCACTACCACGTCACTACCACATCATCACTACCACGTCACTACCGCATCACTACCACGTCACTACCACGTCACTACCACGTCACTACCACGTCACTACCAAGTCACTACCACATCACTACCACGTCACTACCACGTCACTACCACGTCACTACCACGTCACTACCACGTCACTACCACGTCACTACAGCGTCACTACCGCATCACTACCACATCACTACCACATCACTACCACATCACTACCGCGTCACTACCGCGTCACTACCGCGTCACTACCACGTCACTACCACGTCACTACCACGTCACTACCACGTCACTACCACGTCACTACCACGTCACTACCACGTCACTACCACGTCACTACCACGTCACTACCACATCACTACCACATCACTACCACGTCACTACCACATCACTACCATGTCACTACCACGTCACTACCACATCATCACTACCACGTCACTACCACATCATCACTACCATGTCACTACCACGTCACTACCACATCACTACCACATCATCACTACCACGTCACTACCACATCACTACCATGTCACTACCACGTCACTACCACGTCACTACCACATCACTACCATGTCACTACCACGTCACTACCACGTCACTACCACATCACTACCATGTCACTACCACGTCACTACCACATCATCACTACCACGTCACTACCACATCATCACTACCACGCCACTACCACGTCACTACCACATCATCACTACCACGTCACTACCACATCACTACCACGTCACTACCACGTCACTACCACGTCACTACCGCGTCACTACCGCGTCACTACCGCGTCACTACCACGTCACTACCACGTCACTACCACGTCACTACCACGTCCCTACCACGTCACTACCACATCACTACCACATCACTACCACGTCACTACCACATCATCACTACCATGTCACTACCACGTCACTACCACATCACTACCACATCATCACTACCACGTCACTACCACATCACTACCACGTCACTACCACATCACTACCACATCACTACCACGTCACTACCACATCACTACCATGTCACTACCACGTCACTACCACATCATCACTACCACGTCACTACCACATCATCACTACCATGTCACTACCACGTCACTACCACATCACTACCACATCATCACTACCACGTCACTACCACATCACTACCATGTCACTACCACGTCACTACCACGTCACTACCACATCACTACCATGTCACTACCACGTCACTACCACATCATCACTACCACGTCACTACCACATCATCACTACCACGCCACTACCACGTCAATACCACATCATCACTACCACGTCACTACCACATCACTACCACGTCACTACCACGTCACTACCACGTCACTACCGCGTCACTACCGCGTCACTACCGCGTCACTACCGCATCACTACCACGTCACTACCACGTCACTACCACGTCACTACCACGTCACTACCACGTCACTACCACGTCACTACCACATCACTACCACATCACTACCACGTCACTACCACATCATCACTACCACGTCACTACCACGTCACTACCACATCACTACCACATCATCACTACCACGTCACTACCACGTCACTACCGCGTCACTACCGCGTCACTACCGCGTCACTACCGCGTCACTACCACGTCACTACCACGTCACTACCACGTCACTACCGCGTCACTACCGCGTCACTACCGCGTCACTACCGCGTCAATACCACGTCACTACCACGTCACTACCACGTCACTACCACGTCACTACCACGTCACTACCACGTCACTACCACATCACTACCACGTCACTACCACGTCACTACCACGTCACTACCACATCACTACCACATCACTACCACATCACTACCACGTCACTACCACGTCACTACCACATCACTACCATGTCACTACCACGTCACTACCACATCATAACTACCACGTCACTACCACATCATCACTACCACGTCACTACCACATCACTACCACATCACTACCACATCACTACCACGTCACTACCACGTCACTACCACATCACTACCACATCACTACCACGTCACTACCATGTCACTACCACGTCACTACCACATCATCACTACCACGTCACTACCACATCATCACTACCACGTCACTACCACGTCACTACCACATCACTACCACATCATCACTACCACGTCACTACCACATCACTACCACGTCACTACCACGTCACTACCACGTCACTACCACGTCACTACCGCGTCACTACCGCATCACTACCACGTCACTACCACGTCACTACCACATCACTACCACGTCACTACCACGTCACTACCACGTCACTACCACGTCACTACCACATCACTACCACATCACTACCACGTCACTACCACATCATCACTACCACGTCACTACCACGTCACTACCACATCACTACCACATCATCACTACCACGTCACTACCACGTCACTACCACGTCACTACCACGTCACTACCGCGTCACTACCGCATCACTACCACGTCACTACCACGTCACTACCACATCACTACCACATCATCACTACCACATCATCACTACCGCGTCACTACCGCATCACTACCACGTCACTACCACGTCACTACCACATCACTACCACGTCACTACCACATCACTACCATGTCACTACCACGTCACTACCACATCATAACTACCACGTCACTACCACATCATCACTACCACGTCACTACCACATCACTACCACAACACTACCACATCACTACCACGTCACTACCACGTCACTACCACATCACTACCACATCACTACCACGTCACTACCATGTCACTACCACGTCACTACCACATCATCACTACCACGTCACTACCACATCATCACTACCACGTCACTACCACGTCACTACCACATCATCACTACCACGTCACTACCACATCACTACCACGTCACTACCACATCACTACCACATCACTACCACGTCACTACCACATCACTACCATGTCACTACCACGTCACTACCACATCATCACTACCACGTCACTACCACATCATCACTACCATGTCACTACCACGTCACTACCACATCACTACCACATCATCACTACCACGTCACTACCACATCACTACCATGTCACTACCACGTCACTACCACGTCACTACCACATCACTACCATGTCACTACCACGTCACTACCACATCATCACTACCACGTCACTACCACATCATCACTACCACGCCACTACCACGTCAATACCACATCATCACTACCACGTCACTACCACATCACTACCACGTCACTACCACCACGTCACTACCACGTCACTACCGCGTCACTACCGCGTACCGCGTCACTACCGCTCACTACCTCACTACCGCATCACTACCACGTCACTACCACGTCACTACCACGTCACTACCACGTCACTACCACGTCACTACCACGTCACTACCACATCACTACCACATCACTACCACGTCACTACCACATCATCACTACCACGTCACTACCACGTCACTACCACATCACTACCACATCACTACCACATCATCACTACCACGTCACTACCACGTCACTACCGCGTCACTACCGCGTCACTACCGCGTCACTACTGCGTCACTACCACGTCACTACCACGTCACTACCACGTACCACGTCACTACCACGTCACTACCACGTCACTACCGCGTCACTACCGCGTCACTACCGCGTCAATACCACGTCACTACCACGTCACTACCACGTCACGTCACTACCACGTCACTACCACGTCACTACCACGTCACTACCACATCACTACCACGTCACTACCACGTCACTACCACGTCACTACCACATCACTACCACATCACTACCACATCACTACCACGTCACTACCACGTCACTACCACATCACTACCATGTCACTACTACGTCACTACCACATCATAACTACCACGTCACTACCACATCATCACTACCACGTCACTACCACATCACTACCACATCACTACCACATCACTACCACGTCACTACCACGTCACTACCACATCACTACCACATCACTACCACGTCACTACCATGTCACTACCACGTCACTACCACATCATCACTACCACGTCACTACCACATCATCACTACCACGTCACTACCACGTCACTACCACATCACTACCACATCATCACTACCACGTCACTACCACATCACTACCACGTCACTACCACGTCACTACCACGTCACTACCGCGTCACTACCGCATCACTACCACGTCACTACCACGTCACTACCACATCACTACCACGTCACTACCACGTCACTACCACGTCACTACCACGTCACTACCACATCACTACCACATCACTACCACGTCACTACCACATCATCACTACCACGTCACTACCACGTCACTACCACATCACTACCACATCATCACTACCACGTCACTACCACGTCACTACCACGTCACTACCACGTCACTACCGCGTCACTACCGCATCACTACCACGTCACTACCACGTCACTACCACATCACTACCACATCATCACTACCACATCATCACTACCGCGTCACTACCGCATCACTACCACGTCACTACCACGTCACTACCACGTCACTACCACATCACTACCACATCACTACCACGTCACTACCACGTCACTACCACGTCACTTCCGCTTCACTACCACGTCACTACCACGTCACTACCACGTCACTACCACGTCACTACCACGTCACTACCACATCACTACCACGTCACTACCACATCACTACCACGTCACTACCACATCACTACCACATCACGGTAAATGATATTAATAGAATATATTAGTGTTGGCGAAAATAAATATCTAGTTTCTACAAATACTTGGGAGGGTTATTGATAAACTAGAGATAAAAACCTGCCGTAGAAAGTTTTATGACTCAAACTGAGCTTGAGTTATTGCAGAACAAGACGAATGAATAAACAAAATATCTTGAAATGTTTTTTTGAGCCGAGTTCATGAAGATTTTCTCAAATGTATCACCATGGTCTTGTTTTGGTGACCTTTCTAAAATCTCCCATATTATACTGACATTTCATGATCCATGGATTAAAGGAAGTAATATGAACAACATGAATTAGTATCAAAGTAGTAAGTAATGGTTGATCAGAGTAAAGATTGATCATGGTTGTGGTTATTGGTTTGGTGACAATATAACATGTGGTGTGATGTCACAGGTCGGGAAGTTCCGTAAAACAGCGGCTCGCAAGCGGGAGTTCCACATCCTGTTCATGGTGCTGACCACGGCGGGCTGCTACCTCCTGTGCTGGATGCCGTATGGCGTGGTGGCCATGATGGCAACGTTCGGTCCGCCCAACATCATCAGCCCTGTGGCCAGCGTGGTGCCGTCTCTCCTCGCCAAGAGCAGCACAGTTATCAACCCCATCATCTACATCCTCATGAACAAACAGGTACACACATGACACAACAACATCTTTATTTACACAGTAAAAAAGACACTTACAGTTTACAAAGAATTAAATATCAGTTCAAGTGTAATAAGAAGAGTTAAGTCATAAACTCAGGCATGGGGGAGATTATTCAATCCCAATTCAATACATTTGAAACACTGGCATGAGTGTTAAATACATGACAATGTTCGATCCGTAAGAGGCAGTGAACTTCTTAAATGAACAATAACATCAAGTAAAATAATCTGATATTAGGAAATAAGACCATTATGCCCTTCTGAGTAAATATGTTTAAGAAAATCTCCCCTTGGTCAAAGTATCTTAGTCCCATGATGAGACTGTACCTGTCATTAAGCTCTCCCAAAGAACACAATATAAAAGGAATTTGGCACAACAATACTGAGATGCACACATAAGACTGTCCTCAGGCGCCGCACTTTATTAGGAGCTCCCATGGAACGAGGCGCCCCATGCAGCCGCTCATTGCCCCTCACACAAACATGCTCACAATTAGCTTCCACTCTTAGTCACGGTCCAGACTTACAGTATGTAAGTGTGCTCCAAAAGGAGAACTACAACCATCTTTACAGAAAAACAACTGTTCAAACCTCCATCAACAAGAGGTCAATATTGCCCTAATGTTCAAAATAAAGTCTTCAATGAACAAAGAATCAAACAAACTACACCAATTTGGGATGGGGCTTATTAACAACTACCTTTCTTTATAACTAATTTCATAACAGCCATACCCAAACAAGGATGAAAGCCAGCAGTCCGGTTCAAATCAGTGAGGAGTCAGTTTAAAATAGGATTTAACTCAGCTTGCATCAATGTGATGAAGTACCAGGATTAGTCACATGTTTAATTCACTGAATTACACAACAGAATCAATTTAATTTAGCTTCTCACTTCAATTAAGACAATAGAATAATGCTATTATTGTGTTGCTTCTTCCAGTTGTCAAATATCAAACAGAACACAATAGCTAATTCTAGCTCAACTAACACATTCTTAATGTTTTATTAAAACTACGTCTCCCTTTCTGACACACATAATAGTTAAAACAATCCAATAACATTATTCATCTCTTTACCACCACAGTCATGGATACATCTCAACAAAGACGCAACAAGTACGATACATGATCATTTTCTGCAAACAAACCTCTCTCTAACATGCAGCTCCAGTACCTTTCAGCTGAAGATGTACACAGCTTAGAACAAGAAAACTCACAACCAGAGTTCAGTTTCTTTAAAGTGTTCTTCTGCAAGTGGCTGAGTCCAGTATTCGGGCTACATTACCATAAGACTGGTTCACACATGCTCAGGACCCTGCCATAAGAACCAGGCTGTAATTACATTCAATGACGTCATCCGGTCACTAGAGAGCTGAGCATCACTGAGGTCCAAACAGCAGTGAAGTGTTTGGCTTGAACACAAGGCAGGACAGGTGTATTCAGCTGCTCAGGAAAATATGATGAAAATCAATGTCCTAAACAAGTGCCAATAATATCACTAATGACTCCCAGTCCAGCAAAAAGTCAAATATTCACCGCCCTCCTTGTAAAAAAGCACTGTCTTTGTACAGTACTTTGGACATTCAGCAGAGATGACATATGTAAAAACAAAAAACAAACACATTACATCTACATCTTGATATGATCAGAAAATGAAATCATCTATATCACACTCTCATTATAGTCTAAAGGCTTGTTCTAAATTCCACTACGAACTTGGCTCAGCTAATGCAGAATGGAAACATCTGTAAATACCACTGCTTTGTCCTATAGACCAGTCTCCTCATGGGACAACCTATGGCTGACTCTGCCCAGGTCTCAGACCTTGTGTCACCGCACCCCTCTTTAGCCCCAGGGGCAGGAGTCCGTCTGTGAACAGTGTTTGTGGGATTATTAGATGCAGTATTCAGACGTCACAGTCGATGGTGCTGAGACCCGGCAGAGTGATGCGGCCCTTCCTGCGCAGGTCCTTCTCTGGGCCCGTGTTGAGCCTCTGGATGAGGCTCTTCTCGTACAGCAGTGGATGGTAGGCTCCCAGCGTGCAGGCGGCGTCAAAGTAGCGCTCGTGGTAGTGACATAGGTCGGTCTGCCGCATGGAGGGGATGTACTCGTACACATGGACCTTCTCACAAAGCGTCATCATCAGGAGGATCCCTGCAACACACACACACCACAGTCAGGCGTCCAGTTTAATCATGATTTAGTCATGACTTAGTCCATTCTTTTTCGGGTTACAATGATACAGTATTCAGGAAATTTGAATATAATTAAAAAGTTAATTTATTTCTGTAATTGAACTTAAAATGTGAAACTGATATAACTATGATATAGACTCATTACATACGCCATTGTATTTTATAATGTTGATGTTTATGACTGACAGTCCATTTTTTTATTGAGGTGTTTACAGCTGTGAAACATTATAACAAATAAAGGCTTTAAATATTTCACTTTGCGTGTAATAAGTTTGTTATAAATTAGTTTCACATCGGAAGTTGATTTGGTCTACCAAATTTGTTTTTGTATTTTTGGAGGGGTCTACTTATTTTTTCACTTGATTACTCAACAAAAAAATATGATCTTTTGTCAACGTAAAATCTACTTTGACTCATACACGCTCCAAGTAAATGTATAAACATAGATTTCTGAATAATACTCTGGCTTGAATATTGCTTTGCTTCAAGGACCTGTTTTTTTTTTCTTCCTGAGAGAGAGCGCTTACTTCAGAGATGTTTCAGACAATCCTTGTTACACAACAGAATTGGATTAAGGTGACAGAAAGTAGAAATACTCCAGTGCTTTTGATCACAGCAGAGGGTTAGTTTATCTGCTCCCAACAGTTATGTGTTTGTTTGAGAGATTTTCTCATCTAAACCTCAGAAGAATGCATAAAACATATCCATGCAGCATCTATGGCCCAACATGAAAGCACAGCCAGCTCCCACAGATTATGTTTCCTTGGTTTGAGCGATCATTTGTGTTGACTTCTGCAGCTGCTGGTCTGTTAATCATTTACTCTGGTGAGAATGTCCACCTGGTTTTTAACATAGACAAGATAGCGCTTACATATCAAAATGTATCTTTTTACTGTGAAACCGTACATTCACGTGCACTAAAGTAGCTTCCATAATTAATAATCTTCAATGTTGCAGTGTAAGGATGTGAATTCGCAGGATAAGGGCAGAATAAACCAACCAATCAATCAATCAATCAATATTTATTTGTATAACGCTTTTTCTACACAGGACAACACAAAGCACTTCACAGTCCACATCACACAAGGCACAAATCCTAACACGGCTAATCACCTTTAAAATCACACAGGTAATTAAATAGACAAAGTGGACAGATGAGCGGCATGTGCAGGGCCAGCAGTTCTCGTAGTACAGTCTGACAGCAGCAGGAAGGAAAAGAATGTCTCCTTCCCACCGAGTAGAGTAGACTTAAAAACAGAGCAGTATCATATTTAAGCCGTCAGCCATAGTTTTTGATCAATTTGCCTTTGTCACAGAACATAAAGGCTCGTCTTCTGTCCGGCTCAAAATAGTACGAATGCGTTGCTTCTAGAGTTGATTGTATTTGTTGTTTTTATTAAGCGGCCTAGCCCCACAATATCTGTCTGTGCTCCTGCTACCCTACTGTCCAGTTTCTCCCTCAGATTGGCAGACCAGGCGTTGGTGTATATTCTAGCCGATTCTATCGCAAGTCCAAGGGTGAGGAATTAGCTGCTGGTGCACTTTAGGCAAGCTGATTATCCTAATTCTTTTAAAACCTTACTTATGGGGGGATATTATGCAAACTAAACTATTTTGAGCTTTTATACCCTGTTGCAACATTGTTCCTCACATACCTGGAGGTGTTTTTATAAATCTATCCACGCTAATATCAGGAACTTTTGCCACTCCGGCCCTTCTGTCTAAAAGCTCCGGTCCCAGTCCCAGTCATAATATCACTATGACATCACACTCAGATAAAACTATTTTCCTAACAACCACATAACTGTGATTGTAGCCAATAATTTACATAAAAACACAAATGTCCTATTTTCTTCTGAAGATAATAATTCATTTTCTAAAACATGAAATGGCAAAGTAAATAGTCTCAAAATCATTTTGAATGGCCAAAATAAAATACATAAAATTTCTTTTTCATTCTTTTAATTTGGTTTTTCACTAGTCAATGGTCTTTCTTTTGTTTCATCTTTGTATAAGATAACAGAACCTTTATATATATATTAGTGTAAATCATATACATATATGGCAGGATAAAGTGGACATTCTGAAATTGCAATGTTTCACTTCATCAATCACTGTTTTTATTGTACTGTACTGAGCTATTTTTGTAGTGTAACATATGTAGAGTCAACCATGTTGTTTTGAATAGTGCTTTATCAATAAAATTGGATTGGATTGGATAGTAATGATGCCAGAGAAGCCCACTCTATCGTCCCAGGAGAGTTTGGCCGTTGACTATGGAGACATGAAAGTGCACTTATCCAAGTTGCTGTCCTTTTGTTACTCTGTAGAAATGCCTTCATGTGTTCGCACAATCCAAGGTCAGTCCACTCCACATAAGTCTGACATAAGCAGGTTGTGATGCACTCTGTCTCTCTCTCTCTCTCTCCTCCCAGTTCTACAGGTGTTTTCTGGTCTTGTTCCACTGTGATCATTGGTCCGCGGAGAATGGAAACACTTCAATGCCCTCCAAAACCACGGTGATCCAGCTGAACCGCCGCGTCTACAGCAACACGGTGGCATGCACAGCCCAGCTCTCCACCGAGACTCTCAACAAGTGCTGCAGCACCCCCAACATGAAGCACACCAACCCCCCCGGGGCCACTACATAGAGCCTCACCCTGCGGCCCTCACCACACATTCAACACGCACGAGGCATCGGCTTGATTACCATGGAGGAAATCATACATCTTGCCATAGAACCGAATTTAAATCCAAAAAAATGACTGTAATAAAATCCATGTGACTAGTTCCTTGCTCTCAAAACGTTCTAGTTTTCACATTCTTGTACTTTTGGCCTCTGTCACGTCTTTAGATCAGATTTTTCAGACACAAAAATGTGAGTAAAAATGAACACAGCATGTTGCGGCTTAATTTGTTAGAAAAAAATAATCTTTCTGTTAGAACAAACATGTATTTTTCAAACCAAAAAGGCATCTCAGCTTTAATTTCTGGAGATGTATGTCTTCTACATTTTAGGAAAGAGGAGGAATGGCAGTCTATCTCGACCTACCTGTATGAAAACTTTGATTATGTTAATGACAAAAATTATACCTTGTCAAGCACATTCAGAACTGGGTAAAATCCTACACACACACACACACACACAGGATCACACACTATTCGACGGCAGCCATATTTTAGTTGAAATTGAACAAGAAGAAAATAAATATGAATCTATGTTTTTGCTCAGGGACCATGGGCGGGAAAAAAAAAATCTACTTTGATTGTGGTGAACTAACTGTGCATACACATAGCTGTCAAGTGGACATCAGAACAACATAAACATCGGCGTTTGGAGGCATCTCTGTCGTTTGCTGCGATTACAGCCTCATTTCTCAGGCTTTTTGGTGTTTACAGACACAGCACATCTCATCTGGGGGAAGCTGTTACAATTATGGCATGAACAAGGTACAATAGAGACCAGGCTGGCAAGAAGACACAGACATACGGCTACTTTACCCAAATTTCCTGAATTGCTGTTGGACAATTTACATTGTATTGGTGACACTGTCGGGTGTATGCTGTGCATCGACTGAGGATTTAAATGAAATATTTCAGGATGACATTCCAAAGCTAATTTCATTCAATGTGTTGCTGTATAGAATGGACCAGTACGTAATTATGAACCAGTTTCAGCAATATGTCATTTTGTTAATGTGCATCTGTGAATAGTGTGTGTGTGTCTACTGCTGTTACAAACCACTGGAACCAAACTGTATTTTTTTCCCCATTTTTTTGATCTGCATGTTGTTGAAGTTCAATCATTTTGCATTAAATGTCTGTTCCAAAATAGGAATAATTGCTTTCTTTCCATCAATATTTCTTGTTTTTCTCGTTTCCGCTGCAAACGTAAACAACAATCTACTAATTTTGCTTAGAGCCACCTTTAAAATTGCCATAACCTTGCCAGAACAATCAAGTCAAACGTGATAACATGGCAGATGGGGGAGCACTCACAGCACTCAGCTGGTGTTTCTCTAATTACTGGACGTGCTCTGGACATCTGCAGGTTGTGAGGTGGCATTTTGCTGCAGGGTACCTTTTGTGAGTCTCGTCATTACAACTGCCACTCAAACGGACCCCTATATCTTCCTTTGTCAATAGCGATCCTTTCTTGAAGCCATAAAGCCACCAGACTAGACATCCCAACAGGGTTTCCAATGCCTGAAAAGGTTGTTCAAATAAATGGCCGGAGCTAATTGTTAAACAACTCAAAAATTCACAAAAGCTGTCTGACAAAAAGCAATTTCCTCCTTGATTAAACATTCTGTATTGTTGGTGGGGTTCATATCAATACAAATCACAAATGTAATTCAAAAAACAGCACGATACAATTAGTAATTAATCATTATTGTTTCTGATTAAAATGACTAATTCACTTCAAATGGAGCCTAAAAGTACGTATAACATTCATAACAGTCTAGTGGTAGAAAACGCAGTATAATTTGCCTGTTCTGTCACAGAGAGGAGCAAACACACTTCCCTGAGCAAAATATACAACGCACTACACACACTGCATACCAATGTCCACGTCTAAATACATGAATATGGGAACCACTCTCGGGCTGTTATACTTTATTAAAAATGTGGCCTAAGCTGCAACTTCAATGATTGTACAAGTATTTATATAAATCAGCTGTATCAGGTGAATTCAACATTGTTCCTTCCTCAAAGACAGACCTGGAGTTGTTTTCAGATCCATCCATACTAATATCAGGGACATGTGACTCTCTGCCTCTTCCTGTCTCAAACCAGTTCCGATTTTGTTGTCTCCCTACTGCACCAGTACAGCAGTTTTGTGACTTTAAAACAAAATTACTGCCTCGAAATTGTGGCAATTTCTCAGGTTAAATGACAGTAGACTAATAGTTTTTTAAATTTTCACCCTTGTTTACCCGTTTAATTTCCATTTAAGATATTATTTCATATTCTAAAACATTCAAATCAGATCAGATTCAGATTCATTGTATTTGCCATTTGCAGTAAAACCACATTGGAATTCATTAGCAAAAGTCCCCAGTATGCGCAAGTACAGACATAAAACAACATAAAAAGTACAGGGAAAAAATAAATAAAACAGTAAAACAATTGTCACTGTGAAAACGATCGGCTAAAACAGTATCAATACAAAGTGCAAGATCATTAAAGTGCTCTGTTCAAACTTATAACAGCTTGTGGGAAGAAGCTGTTAGCATATCGAGGTGTCCTGCATCTCAGAGAAAGATATCTTCTGCCAGAGGGAAGAAGCTGGAACAAGGCTTTTCCAGTGTGGCCAGAAGAGTCATTGATCATTCTATGAGCTTGGTTTAAAAGTCTGGATTTATAAAGAACCTCCAGAACAGGTCGCTAGACAGCGTTAAACCCAGAAACTTGACTCCTCTACAATCTGTACCTGGGAGTTGTCGATAACAACAGGGGTGTGAGAACTGTTACAACTGAAGTCAAAGACCAGTTCACATGTTTTCGATGCGTTCAACTGGAGGTTGTTAGTTTGACTCCACTGAACCACATTTTGTATCTCTGCTCTATAAGAGGATTCATCATTGTCACTGATGAGACCGATGATGGTGGTGTCATCAGCATATTTAATGATCAGGTTTGAGTCAGAGGAGGACACACAAACAAGTGTACAAAGTAAAAAGTAAAGGACTCAAAATACATCCCTGAGGAGAACCAGTGCTCACAGAAACAACATCTGAAAAATGAAACACAAAGTATCATTATCAATGTTTAAAAGTTATTCAGGAGGATTTCAACGGTTTTGTTAAGTCTTCAGAGATAACTATTGTTGTGATTTAGGGCTATACAAGAATACATTGAATTGAATAAGTCCCGCCTTTCTGAAAAATAATGTGTTTTCCACTGAGCCACATCAGTCCTTCATCTCAGCGTCCCCCATGCAGATTTTAGATATTTAAGCTTCTCCCTTTTTGCCAAAATTACAAAATTACAAAGTAGCTGCTACCTGCTACGTAAAAAGACGTTGGTGTGGTGTTACCATGGTGAAAGGGGACGCGTGATTGGTGCTGAGCAGAGAGGTCGTTATCTACTATTGATTAATTTCGAACCCTCTTATATTTTTAATTTGGACAAATATCTCCCTAAATATAATGGACAATACAAAGGCATAGGATTTCTTCTTTAAAACAACTCTGGTTTCAATTGAACTGTCAATAAATGTGCACATTTGTTAGATTGTGTTATTATTTGAACCATATTCAACCTTTGTTCTATAGAAAGATTGTCTGACGTTTGCAATTAGTTTAAGGCGTGTTCATTTCCAACGTAAGAAAAACAAACAAAAACACGCCGCATTTGTCTTAGTAGACTTCACTCTAATTAATGTCTAGTGTTTACTGCCAAACCAACAGATTATTTCTGACAAGTGCATTCATTATGGGAAGTGTGGCAGTGGCATCAATTAAAAACAATAGCCTGCTTCTAGGAGATAAACAGAATCCAGGCACGTTCCTCATTCTCGGGTTGCTTTGCCTTCAACAGGAGACGTATTGAAAAGCCTAAGTTCCAGAGAGCCATATATATATCGACGCGCTAAGGGCCGTCTCGGCGGTGACCAATATTTCCCATGATTCCCCCTGCCCCCTGCATGTACGTGCGCAGCTTCACGGCGCTGCATTCTGATAATGTTTCCGTGCATTGTCGAGATAAGAATTCCATCATGTCTTTATGTAGCGGTCCGTGTGAGCCTTTGCAAGATTCCTGCCTTGGTGAGCGGAGGGGAAAGATAAGGGAACAGAGGGGGGACACCAGATGCAAACCGCACGAGACGGAGCTTAGAGTACGTGTGGACATGTCTTACCAATAAAACCCGACGAGGGGGGATTAGGCTGGATGTTCTCCTTGGTGTTGCTCTGGATCACGTCCCAAAGCCTCCACACAAAGCCGGGGTGGAGGATGTAGAAGGGCTGGTCCGGGTGGAGCTTGCGTTGCTCCGTGTAGGGGCCGAACAGGTTGTAGTCTGGATTGGCGAACCACTGGAGAAGACAATAAAGAGTGAATTATGCGCTTGCCAATGGTAAAGTGATCTCAGAGCACAATAAAAAATTGTGCTGGGGGAAATAACAACAGCAGTCGTCTTGACAGGTTTCAACACAATGCTTTATGTGCCACTAATAGATTATGAAAGGGTGGGGATTTTTGTTATTGTTTGTTTTTACAGTATATTTCATTTTTATTTTCATTTTGTACATGACAAGTTACAAAACGTAACCAAGACAAGATATTTCCAGACAAATGTATAAATATATAATTAAATAACAACAGCACCAAAATAAATCATAATGTTGATAAATAAAATAATTTCAAATTGTCTCATTTCGTAGTTCTCTTATGTGTTTGTGTAGATTTATTTTCTTGTTGATTGTCTGCTCTGCCCTGATGTGTTTCACGGTGTCTCTGTGTATCGGAAACTCAGAAATATTGCCCCAATCAATCAATCAATCTGCAGAAAAGACACCGGATCCTCTTTGCTCATGAATTAAAGAGGCGCAGAAACTCCCACGACCCGGCAACGGATGAAGCGGAAGAAAATGGATGGATGCAGAAACCTTAAATGTTTTGACATGAGGAATTTAAAATCAGAATGTTGCTCCTTGTAATAAAAAGTGCTTATACATAGACAGTCTGAGATATTTCTGGAAAGCTTTTTTGGTCATTAATTCTTTTTTCTTAATTGTTTTCGGGTGTAAATATGTTTATTTTGAGAAGGAAAACCATCAGTGTGATATAAGACACATCCAATCTCAGTTTGTCTTTGTTCTTTCATCCAATCACGTCACTGCGACACATGTGACAGTGACGTGAACCCAGCCTGAGTTTCTGAGTTGAATTTGAGACTTGAACTGTTTCATTTCCATTTCTCCGTGAGGGAAGTCTGTGTTGAACTTCCGTGTTTGGGAGATAGCATTAAATAAATTATTTTTTACTTGCAGCATTGATGCTATTGAGCTACTAGTGGGTTATAAATAATTCATTTTTAATTTTAATAAAGTTATTTTTCTCCAAAGAATCTTCATCCACGTTATTAGATGTTAAATATTTAAACAATCAACAGTCTTCAATTGAATCTTCCTCAAGTCAAATAAAAGCCAAAACATGATCATAAGAAAAGGAAACCACTTTTATACTTTTGGCCCTGACCAACGAGTTATTCTTTAAATCCGATAATATAAGAGATGATAAACTTTATTGATCTCACAATGGAGAAATGTACATGTCACATTTGGCATAGATAGAATCACTCAGATTGTGCAAAAGACAGAAGTGGTTCTGATAAAAAGAGTTGGACACCCCTAAAATAAGGATTAATGGCACCACTTCAATAAAAATTAGAGGCAAAATGTGGTTTTCCTCAGTCTCCCATACGTCAACTGCATTACATAATGTGCTTGTACATAAGTCATTAAAACTGACAATATGACTCTGACCTTTCGGCCTGTCAATAATTTCAACTAATTGATAAAATTACTGCAGCCAATCATGCCAGAAAATCCCGGCTCTAATCACAGGACATCATCGCTAATTTGCACAAGGCATTTCTTCTTGATTTTTACATCCCCCTCCTTCTGTCGTCGGTAAATAATGTTAGAAAAAAGGTCAGTACGGCTCTCGCAGAAGGAAGAATCGATAGCTACACATGAGCGGAGGGACGGGGTTGAGCAGCGAGACGTGCCTTCAGAGCATTACTATGATGACCGGGACCATTACGTGTGCTACAGACTATAGATTTATATATTTATTTATTATAATCATATAACCGTACATCGTTTTGTCCCATAAATATATGTTTGGAAGAGTCTTGTTTATGCAACATGACCTTGACGTCGTCTAATGAGAAAACAAGTTCTTTTCTACATGCTGAGCGATGATTATTTCTTATCACATACTACATTTGTTGTCAGTTTCATAATTCTTTGTGAGGTTTTTTATGCAGTAATCATTTTTTATCATAGATTTGTATATATGTTTTTCTGTGCAAATATATGTTTTTCTGTGCAAATTAGTTCTGATTATTAGATTAGATATTAGATTTGCTAAATACACATTTGTGAAGACAATCTTGGACGCTGTAGGTCAGTACATCCCCACCTTGCTTGTCTGGGCACGAGAACCCCCTGTTGTTTGGGGTGGGGTAGGACCATAGACTGTATATATTAACGGACAGAGCCGCCGTTCTAACTAATGGGCCAAAAAATGTGCTCCACTGGAGCAATCCAAAATGGCCGCGAGTGGTCCCGCCCACAAGAAAATTGTGAAAAAACGCATCTGCGCATGCGTCAGCCGGCGCAGCTCCATTCATTTGAACGAGAGACTTCAAAAATTCACAGCAAGTAAACTAGAGTGGACCAAAAAAATCCACCCCCCTCAGCATTGACACACATGTGGAACGGAGCTTTGGGCCAAGAGCCAACTTTTGGTCCATCCTGTAAAGACGTTTTTGAGAGGTCTGCCAACGCTATATGTTAGCATTGGCTAATTCTTCTTCTGGGTCCACCCCCATCGGCCCGGGGTGGTATTGCAAGCATGTCAGCGCACGTCATTTTGGCCACTTTTGAGCTGGGACCCTCCCCCACTGGGTAGGACTGGTTCCGGTCCAAGGGCGGTTTTTGAGCTTTACTGTTACACCAAAGTGTCATTTTCATTGTGGTTCATAGCTCATCTTTTGGATCTGATTTGAGTTTATTTAGTGAGTATACACTTGCAGTGAACCAAACGTAAAATGATTAAACCAATTATCATTAATTCCATTCTGGGTTTGATATTTAAAATATAATATATTGTCTGGTTATTTTATTGAGAAAATGGCTTAAAGTTATGTATAACATGTCTTAGAAGCCCATATCTTACTACCAACTTTTGCAAGTTTTGAAAATCATTGAAAGTACCTTCTGTAATACCCTTGCCGGCCCCTAGGAGTCTGCGTACCCCTAATTTGGAAACTCTGGGTCAAATTATACAAATCTTGACCAGGCATGAACAAACTTTGGGCAACAGTGGAATATAACAGTGGATTCCGATGTTTATCACGTCATATTTAGCGCAGGAGTCATACTAAATATGTGCAATGATAGTGAAAAAGGAAAAAAAAAGATTTTATAATCCGAGGAGGGCTCCGGGGCCTGATAGAAACGTCAAAAGGGCCGCAACTGGCCCGTGGGCCGGGGGTTGCCCTCACAGCCTTTGACACTCGTCTCTTCTAACAAAAGAGCAGGTGCGGCTGCTTCAAGGGCAGATAGAAGTCAGATATTGGGAAACGCAGATCGATGCGCAACAAAAGCAGGATATGAAGGAGGCATGAGGGTCAAAGCCGCTGTGTTAGCGCTGGTGTGTGGTTTGAATGGCCACATTGACCGTGTGGAGACAAAAAGGAAGACTTTCCCCGCAGGGTTGGGGTGAGTGGAGGAAGTACACACCCGGTGCAGGTCGACAGTGTAGGGAGCAGGATCCCATGCCACCAACGTGACATTTTTGTAGATAGAGCTGGTGTTGAATCGATGCCGAGGATTGGCCAAAATCTGAAAAGAACACAAAATTAAATTACAAACTCCCATCAATCCAATTTGGCAGCTACGGTTGCACAGCAGACTATCCAGTTGACAGTCATCAGAGAATGTTAAAAAGTGATGTTGGAAAAGGTTAGAAAGACTCAGCCAATTTAAATCAACAACGACAACAACCACCCATGGAGCAGCTTTAAAAAGCAGAGGGTCATGTTGATATTTAAATGGGTTTCTAATATACAGCTGGGTGCTTATTACCTCAATCCAGCGCCTTTCTAATAAATGTAAAGAGGTTTTAACTCATTGTTTATGGAGCTCCTTTGTAATGAATGCAAAAAGCGTATTCTTCTTTTATCATAAACACAGTGTTAGTAAAACATGGGTCATAACGCAGTAGTAAAGCTAAAGCTAAGGTTCACACTGGCAGAGTGGTAGTTAGTTCCCCGCTCTCAGTCATCCCACTGCTGCTGCGCCGCAACAGCAATCAGTCATGGAGTTTTCACATGATGCAGCAACCTTCCTCCTCCCCGCTGCCGCCTCGTCAGCCGGACCAGATCTTCATCCCATCTCCTTAGTTTTAGCTACCACCACCAGAGTCTAGACTTCAGGGGATCTCCTCTCATAATTGCTATTTTCACCCAACCCCCTTCTCTACCAGGATCTAAACGCCAAATCGTAACCATTGTATGTACAGCATGCAATAAATGTCACCTTGCATAAAATGTCTGGAGTCTTGTGTGCTAATGTAACAGCTAACTAATACATACAATTCTAATTTCCTTTCAATCTTAGTCTCCAAGTTTAATGCTCATATAATTTTCAACAATCTATCATATTCAGTCCCACCCAAATATTTGTTTTATTTTCAATCCCTTGTATGTGGTTATTTTTGTTTATTTATTCAGCAATGTTGAACAAAGTGTTTTTAATTAAATCACTCAAAGTTATAATCATGAACGTACTTTTAATGAATGTAACAGCTAGAACTGTACATTCAAAGATTAAAAACAGTTGCACAGATAGAAGTTTCACTGTTGCCTGGACAACAACTACAGCTAAAGACCTACTTTATTGCTGTGGTCATAACCTGCTCCTTCTAACTAAAAGAATTGACTCTGTGTTGCTCCATTGGAAGTTTAACAAACCCCAGTGTGACAGATGATGTAAAAATGATAAATCACTTAAGTCCATGTTCATCCGGAGTTGGCACAGAGCTTTGCCCACGAGTGACGCACACTTGTCCATGATGAGGCCCTCGCTCGCTCACCTGTGAGTTGATGATGCGTATAGTGGTCCTGTTGCCCACGTCTCGCTCATATCCATCTGTCGGCGCCGCATTGAACCGTAACACTGCGTCATGTGTGTCTAAAAAGGAAAAGGACAACACATATATCAGTCATAGCAGCTTGTGCTCAGTGGGTCTAGTTTCAACACATGTTATCGCAGATTTTCAAACGACAATAACATGGATTTATTGTTTAGATGCTGTCTAGGTTAGGTGCTGTTAGAAACCTATTGATCTTTTGCATTTGAATAATAAATAGGATTATAGTGAAAGAGACAAACGGAGCTAGGAACTAATGATGTATATCCTATGCATTTTTTGGTGTTTGCAAAAGTAGGTAATTCTACTTTGAAAACTACTTGAGTAAAAAAAAAAAAAAAAGCCAGAAAACTCCTTGTCTATTATAGCAGGAATGAAGAGGGTGTGGCTTACCCAGCTGCAAATACACATGCATGAAAACAAAAAGTGTTTTCAAATGTTGGTAATAGCTTAGTATAATGACATCCTAAACTACTACTGTTAAACAAATTAAAGTTCTGTTCAGCTGTGCATACAACTTCACTCTTTTTAATGTACTGCTATAATTAGGCCCTGAATGATCACACCAGCAGAATGGTTTGATCTACCCCCGGCTGACAGACTGCTCAACGAACACTGCCCCCCTTCTCACCCCCCCGGACTCCCTTATACTGGTCCTGCACCGTTACAGCTAACATACTCTGTGTTTTTGTGTTACTAATCTACCTCTTATAACCCTGTGCCGTTTACATCCTGCCAACGTCTGCACTTTATACGCTCTATTATGACCATGATGCTCAAAATGTAATTCTGTTGGGTTAGGGTTTTGGTTTTGTGACAATGACATTAAATGATTGAATCTTGATGTAAATGTCTTGTGTGTTTGTTTCTGTCTTGTTTTGGCACTTTGAGTTGCCTTGTGTGTGAATTGTGTTATACTAAACTTGCTTTGCCTTGCCTGAATATGTGCATTTAATTTAATTCCTGCCAGTCTGCAAATACAGAACAAAAAAAGAAAACCATTTTGGAATTCTTGGAATCATTTTTTCAAGATTCTATGTCTACATTCAAAGTGAACAATTTTTGTATGTATTCTGCATTTACAGAAGCCAGTCCAAACACACAAGGATCTTATAGCTGAATCTATAGGAGTGTCTTCTACCTCGAGCCAACTGCAGCAGCTGAGTCACTGCCAAACATTTACCAGAATATGATTTTTAATATTATTAGTTTCATGATCTTTTTCTTTTTCTTTTTCAATTTCTTCAGTCACTTATAATCAACAACAAGAGCTAAGATCCACGTGAGGCCACTTCCACTTAAATCACATTCAGGTTTTCACACAAAAACGTTTGTTGTTGTATTGTCACATGTGTCTTTGTGTGTGTGTTGCCTTGACAACAGTGTAGCAACTGCAGAAAGGTAAATTATTACACTGGGTAACAAAAAAATATTTTTTGAAAATAGTCCAGGGTTTTCCAGCTGAATTAGACTAATTTTGATGCTCTGAGTCTGAAAATGACCTTGGCTTTGCTCAATCAGGTCAGGATTTTTTGCGACAGAAATATTTTTTTAAATCGATTTTGCGTAAAAAACACATTTCTGCGGATCATCAGCTGATTAACCCTTGACGTTTTTTCCATTTTCCTCAAGAAATAAAAGTCATAAAAGTATCCAAAGTCATTCCGTTTTTATTTACTCCATCAAATTTGATAAGCAGAATTCATATTAACATAGACGTACATAATCCGTAACACTATGGCTGTATCTCAAAAAGTTGACCTGATAGAGCAAAATGCATGTGATATTTGGACTCAGAACACCAAAATTAGTCTAAATCAGTTGAGAGACCCCTGACCATTTTTTGGCTGTCCACTTGTGTTATCACTTCCACACAAAACCATGATCTAAGTGCCCTCTAGTGGCTTGTCAAGGGATCACTAAACAATACTTGCTGACACTTGATGGGCTGCATTAATTACAGCTGTACCATCTCAACACGCATCTTTTCTTTTGATCCCTTTGCTGTACTTCCCTGATCAGTATTCAAGGCAGAGAACTGGGAACATATTGTATCTCACTTAGCACTATACACTTAAAATGCTCTCCACACTCCTTCAGGAATGATGAATATGAATGTGCGCCTATGAAGGACCGCGAGTCGGAGTAAACAAGGTGGCAGGTGGAATTCAGGTTTGCGTAAGTACGAAATGAGAAAAATATATTGGGTCACAGACATATCAAAATAACGAGGGACTTTTTGACTGCTGGATTGAATAGAGCAATAGAGAATCAGTCTCACACAAAACATGCGGTATATGATGTTGTCTTAGCATCTACAACATGCCCCACAGGTTAAAAAATAAAATAAGAAGAAAAACCTCATCTGGAGATCAAATTTCTCTAAGGCAGCAATAACGATACCTAACATACCTAGCCTTTTATACTTGCTCCTTATAAAGCACCTGAGACATCCTCATCATTGACATTGTAACTATTTTTTATAATCTGTAAATGTACGTTACAGATTATAAAATCTGTAATTGGGCGACAGTAGCTCAGTTGGTAGAGCATTGGCCTTCAGGCCTGAAGGTCGTGGGTTCAATTCCCACCTCTACACCTTCTCCACCGACTCCCACTGATGTCTGCTGTCGTTGTGTCCTTGGGCAAGACACTTAACCCCACGTTGCCCAAAGCCCCCACTGAAAGATCAAGGCTATGCTCACACTCAGAGAGCAGCCGTCCTCCTGTGGACTCACCACCTGCAGAGGGTCAGTGAGGGGCTGGTGCTATGAGACTTGGGTGGCATCTCTGACTGCCACCCCCCTGACCCAGAAATGGATTAAAGGGTAGAAAATGGATGGATGGATGTAATTGTACGTATTTTTTGCTGCCTCTTGTCCAGAACTCTCAAGAAAAAGTGGTTCTTATTCTGAATGGGACCTGGGTAATTAAAGGTTAAATAGAAAATAAAACTAGAAACTTGCAATGGCTGAAGCCATTGCGATTGACTGCGGAACAGATCTAATGTGGAAATCTGCTAAAAAAAATCCTTGAAATCCTTTAAAAAGCCTTGAAACTGTTAAAATACTTGATAGATATTTGAAACTCCTGAAGTCCTTGAAATTGTTGAAACCTTTAAACTCCTGAAATCCTTGAAACTGTTGAAACATTGAAACTCCTGAAATCCTTGAAACTTTTTTAAACCTGGAAACTGTTGAAAGTGTGGAAACTCCTGAAATCCTTGAACCTCCTGATATCCTTGAAACTGGTTAAATTCTTAAACAGCTGAAATCCTTGAAACTACTGAATGTATTGAAAGTGTCCTTGAAACTGAAAAATCCCCTCACCGCTGAAACAATTTGGTTCCTGTAACTAAGGAAACCTGGTCTGTGGTCATTATCTGGTGGTGGTCTGAGTCTTCGTTTGGGTCTTGGTCTGGTGGTATAATGCAACCTATTAGGTTGCATTATACATGAAAAAACCCTATTAAGTTGCATTATACTGGTTTACATGAAAAAAACCCTATTAAGTTGCATTATACTGGTTAACATGAAAAAAACCCTATTAAGTTGCATTATACTGGTTTACATGGAAAAATCCCTATTAAGTTGCATAATACTGGTTTACATGGAAAAATCCCCATTAAGTTGCATTATACTGGTTTACATGAAAAAAACCCTATTAAGTTGCATTATACTGGTTTACATGGAAAAACCCCTATTAAGTTGCATTATACTGGTTTACATGAAAAAAACCCTATTAAGTTGCATTATACTGGTTTACATGGAAAAACCCCTATTAAGTTGCATTATACTGGTTTACATGTAAAAACCCCTATTAAGTTGCATTATACTGGTTTACATGGAAAAATCCCTATTAAGTTGCATTATACTGGTTTACATGAAAAAACCCTATTAAGTTGCATTATACTGGTTTACATGGAAAAATCCCTATTAAGTTGCATTATACTGGTTTACATGAAAAAAACCCTATTAAGTTCCATTATACTGGTTTATATGTAAAAAAAAAAACCCTATTAAGTTGCATTATACTGGTTTACATGGAAAAATCCCTATTAAGTTGCATTGTACTGGTTTACATGGAAAAATCCCTATTAAGTTGCATTATACTGGTTTACATGAAAAAAACCCTATTAAGTTGCATTATACTGGTTTACATGTAAAAACCCCTATTAAGTTGCATTATACTGGTTTACATGGAAAAATCCCTATTAAGTTGCATTATACTGGTTTACATGGAAAAATCCCTATTAAGTTGCATTATACTGGTTTACATGGAAAAATCCCTATTAAGTTGCATTATACTGGTTTACATGGAAAAATCCCTATTAAGTTGCATTATACTGGTTTACATGGAAAAATCCCTATTAAGTTGCATTATACTGGTTTACATGGAAAAATCCCTATTAGGTTGCATTATACTGGTTTACATGTACAAATCCCTATTAAGTTGCTTTATACTGGTTTACATGTAAAAACCCCTATTAGGTTACATTATAGTGGTTTACATGTAAAAATCCTTATTAAGTTGCATTATACTGGTTTACATGTAAAAACCCCTATTAAGTTCCATTATACTGGTTTACATGTAAAAACCCTATTAAGTTGCATTATACTGGTTTACATGAAAAAAACCCTATTAAGTTGCATTATACTGGTTTACATGGAAAAATCCCTATTAAGTTGCATAATACTGGTTTACATGGAAAAATCCCCATTAAGTTGCATTATACTGGTTTACATGGAAAAATCCCTATTAAGTTGCATTATACTGGTTTACATGGAAAAATCCCTATTAAGTTGCATAATACTGGTTTACATGGAAAAATCCCCATTAAGTTGCATTATACTGGTTTACATGGAAAAATCCCCATTAAGTTGCATTATACTGGTTTACATGGAAAAATCCCTATTAAGTTGCATTGTACTGGTTTACATGGAAAAAACCCTATTAAGTTGCATTATACTGGTTTACATGGAAAAAACCCTATTAAGTTGCATTATACTGGTTTACATGTAAAAACCCCTATTAAGTTGCA